TATGGGTGGACCTCTGCGGGACGAGCGCAGCGAGTTCCGCAGCCATCTAATCACCAATATTCTGTAGAACTGTTCAAGTAAGACATTCGCCTGAAACGTGTAATTTTTAAATTAATGAGAATAACGCACATTTGAGTGAGTCAGTTTAGTATCGTAATTAAACTATATATTGATGAATAGATAGATGGCTGCGGAACTCGCTGCGCTCGTCCCGCAGAGGTCCGCATCTATAAGTTCCACAACAATTCACTTATTTGTACTTGAATAACTTGTCACATTATGTTACTAGTTTGGTAAAGTAACATTACTAATTCTTGTTGAAAGACAAATTGACAAAAACTGGATAATTTTACAAATTATGATTTTATATAATAAGTTTTTGTCCAAATACAGGGTGTTTTTTTTTATACATACCTATATTGACACACCCCACCTACAGCCTTCACCTTAACAAGTAGATGAAAAGTGTAAATACAAAAGCTGTATAGTAGGTATTGGCTAAATTTTTAGAATCGATGGTCAGAAACAAAAATTGAATGTCAATAAAGTGAAATATTGCATGCTTTCAGCTTTTTTCAAATGGGATGCGCTATATTTGGTTCTATATTCTTGAAGAGTACAATTTCCCGATTCCAAAACTATATAGTTTGTCTATATTTGGTTGAGCCGTCTCCAACATATTTGGTTCTAAAAATTTTAAAAATACTATTAGATAGTGGTGCCGCAAGACGAGACTTAAGGTTGGTCTCGTCTCGACATTTCGAGACGAAACCATAATTTAGGCTCAGTCTCGAGTAGCAACGTCTCGTCTCGTCTCGAGTGGTTTCGTCTGATCTCGAGTTATACAGAGTGTTTGGAAAATAGTGTAAAAACTCTTCACTATGTAGTGGAGGACCCTTCAAGGAACCCCGGAAAAATAATTCAAAAAATTTAGTAACATTCTTAAGAAAGTTATTTGCATTTTAATATTTATTAAAATTTGCTACACTGAAAATATCCCGTTGACAACATGTCAGAGAATTAAATTAAATACCTATGTAATAACAATAATAACCTGTAGAATTCGGAGGTGAATTTTCACATTTACCTCTTCATATTACATACTAAGAATAATGCTGAAGAAGGATTTTTTCAATTATTTTTCTAGGGTTTCTCAAAGGGTCGTGGTACGTGGTGCATGGAGAGCTTTCAAACTATTTTTCGGACACCCTGTATTTATGGTAGGTATTTATTTTCCAATTATCATTTCTTTATAATACGATTTTTGACTATTTCAGGTTCTTAAATTTCTGATTTCTTGAAAATTTATTTTTATAAAAAAGCAAGAAACATTCAAGAGCCTGGAATTTCTTGTCTCTATTTGTTATTTCTTCAGTGTCAATTTTTGTCTATTTCAGGCTCTTGTTGTTCCTTACTTTTTTAGAGAAATAAATTTAGTAAAAAACAGCAATTCAAGAGTCTGGAATAGTCAAAAATCGATTCTAGAGAAATAAGATTATCAAGAAATCTTTTTTAATCCCTTAAATTTTCCTCATATTTGTCAGTCTTTTTTCATTTACTCTATACACTTTCTTAGGTAATATGTAGTTGGTATTTCAAGGTATTTCCCAAATTTTGCAAAGAATCATCATGGGTAAATATTTTTGGTGCTTTCCCGGAATTTTTTTAAAGTTTCTCTAACTTTTCTGAACTTCTTCAGTACTTCTTCGGACTTTTTTTACTTTCCTAACGCTTTTTTAGGTGATGGTGAATTTTATTCTTCCCAGGGCGGATTTTCCCTTGAGAACGAAAGGATAAAGATATATACAAAAGATTTCTTTCTTAACTTTCTAAGTCTTCTCTCATTTCCTCTATACACTTTCTTTTCTAAGGGCGTAATTGTTATTTCCCAAATTTTGCAAATAATCATCTTTATGGGTAAATATTTTCCATACTTTCTCGAACTTCCTTTGAAGTTTCTCTAACTTTTCTGTACTTCTTCAGTAGGTACTTTCTCAAACGGCCTTTACTTTTCCAGTACTTTTTTAGGTGATGGTGAATTCTTCCCAGATGATTTTACCCTCGAGGATGAGAGAATAAGGAAAATTTCTGATTTCTCCAATGTTTTTTTTTTTTTTTGTGAAAAATAAAAAAAACATTGAAGTGCCTGGAAAAGTCAAAAATCGATTCTACAAAAATGACTAATCTGGAAAAGAAATTGAAAAAATTTTGAAGGGTAAACCTCCTTGGAATTATGATGTACAAGCATATGCGATTTTTTGAGATTCTGTGTAGTTCCAGTGGGATTTCTTACTTTGCCCGATGAGTTGATGTTTTTAATACCGTGGGATTTCAGTAGTATTCTGTGTGATTTCAGTAAGATTCTAGTAGGATATCGATTATCGAGGGATTCCAGTAGTACCTACTTCATGGGATTCCGTTGAAAGTGGGACACCATCTTGGAATTATAGTGAACAAGCATATGTGATTCCAATGGAATTCCGTGGGATTTCGGGTAGGATTCTAATAGGATTCGAGTGGGACTTCAATGGGATTCCTTAGTTTGCTTGATAAGTCTATGTTTTTACTTTGTACCTAACTGAAAAACAATACTTTTTCTTCGGAGTCTTTGCTTGCTAGCATTCAAAATAATTCCAAAAATACACAAGAAATTCCATGGAATGCCTCGAGGAATTCCATTGGATTCCAGTAAGATTCCGTTGGATTTTTTTAAAAGTGTGATTCTGGTATACCTACACATTTTTCAAGCTGGTGAGGGAAACTACCTGGGGAAAAACATCAAAACAGATGCTTTTAGGGTTTTTGAAGTCGATTAAAAACAAAAAACACTCGAACACGTCATTTTTGTATTCAATAAGAGGGAATAATGGTTTCTAAAAATTCAGCCAAAACTGTACAACTTTTGTATTTACACCTTTCTTCTACCTATGATGGTAAAAGCTGTAGGTGCGGTGTCAATATATAAAAAACACCCTGTACAAATAAGCAGATTATTACAAAACTTATAAGTGGACCTTCATCTACTCATCAATATATATCTACTCAAATAAGACACTCACCTGAAACGTGTAGTTTTTGAACTAATGAGAAAAATTCACAAATGAGTGAATCAGGTTAGTATTGTACTTGAACAACATATTGGTGAATAGATGACTGGGTCCACCCATAAGTTTCGCAACAATCCACTCGTTTGTACTTGAATAACTTGTCACAATATCCTACTAGTTGGGTAAAGTAACATTATTTAGTTCCTGTTAAAAGGCCAATTGACAAAAAGTGAATAATCTTACAGTGGATAGTTGCGGAACTTATGGGTGGACCTCTGCGGGACGAGCGCAGCGAGTTCCGCAGCCATCTAATCACCAAATATACTATTGAACTGTTCAAGTAAGACACTCACTTAAACTACTGAGAATAACGCACATTCAAGTGAGTCAGTTTAGTATCGTAATTAAACAACATATTGATGAATAGATGGCTGCGGAACTCGCTGCGCTCGTCCCGCAGAGGTCCACCCATAAGTTCCGCAACAATTCCCTCATTTGTACTTGAATAACTTGTCACATTATGTTACTAGTTTCGTAAAGTAACATTACTAATTCCTGTTGAAAGGCAAATTGACAAAAAGGGGATAATCTTACAAATTCTGACTTTATATAATAAGTTATTGTTCAAGTACATACCTACCTATTTAAAATCACCTTATTCTCCTATATAGTTCCCCCATTCCCATATTTTTATGGGCCATTCCTTCGAAAAACCGTATCTTGCACAATGCGCTGCCAAAACTAACCCAAACTAACCCAATCTGGCTTACTTTAACTTAAACTGCCCCCCTTTCAAAAGGCCTGTATCCGCCCCACGCGTAAACTCCAAAGATTCAAATACTTTTTAAAAGACTTTATAAACCCATTTTTCAAAATATTAAATTGAAATAAACATTTTAAAGAGCTCAAAAACCCCAATTTCGTTTAAAGACATATTCTTGTATCTGATACTTTTAATCTTTGGTTACTCAGCAGATTTTTATTCCTTGTAGTATTAGTAATATGATATGACAGCTTATCAAAATACAAATTATAAGTATGGAAAGGCCCACCTGCGCAAAGACAAAACGTTTGCCTATTGTTTACTGATTGAGTAATTAAAATGGAAAATCCACACGCCATACATTTTTTCCAATAATTGAAAAATCGTCTTACATTTTCCACTATATTTGTCAAGAAATATTATGTTTTTGTTTTCGAAAATATTGTTATATTTTTTATGGCCAGGGTTTTCCATTAGGTACCTACTATGTTTTAAATGGTAGTAAAACGTTCATGAATCATAATGTCGGAAATAATTAAAATAACACGTATAATTGTGTGTGGTGCATTATTTTTTATAGTAAGTAAGACCATAAAACTGATAATGATATTTTGTTCGAAAACATTGAATCATCGGCCTTTTTTTGACACGAAATAGCTCTTTAGTCATTCAAAGAAATCCCATTGATAAAATCGAAGAATATTTCAACTGGAAACATAAAAATTCAATTATCCACTCTTATAAAATAGTCCTTGCACTTTTCATGATTTGATTAGGTTATTGTTATGTAATCGATTTTATAATTTAAATTGACATTTAAATGACAAAATAAAATTGCTTGGGGATTATAGTTTGTTGCATTTTTTTTTTAAATAATAATGACTAGTTTTTTTTATAATAAAACATAGAAAATCCAAAAGGATGATGACTTTTCTCAAGACAATTTGCATACAATACAATTTTTGGTCAGAATTATTGGCCTATCAAGGATCTTAATACATACATTTTTCTAGATGATTTCATACTTTAGACTTTGATCTTATCCTAGGAACTCAATAAGATCAATATCATGCAATTTTTCAATTCCTCTAATGTAAATATTGTTTCAGCCAAAAATAAAAAAAAAAAAATGAGATGGGGGAGATGGTGACTTGCTTTTGCTCAATGAAAATAATTGTTTAGTCAATAGTATTTATGTCGGGTTGGTTTGGAGGACTTGAACCAGTTGTAGTCGCAAGTCTGACGTTGGTGGATCTAAAAATAAGTTTTCGGAATTGCTGTTTTGTTATTCTTTGTGATTATTTTGCATTTTTATAAAATGTAAGTTGAGTTTGATTTTATGTTGATGTTGGCTCTTGTGAAAGATTTTCTACATTAAGAGAAATATTGATCACTCTGTATCTTTACACAGTGGTGGAATTGTTTTCAATTATTGGCCTTAGTCTTTCCTAAAAGAACCAGGAATCTTAGAATATTGGTCATTTTGATCTTTATATAGTACCTAGCTTATTTTTGTTGAGTCAAATTACAGTGGGTAGAATTGTTGTTTATTACCGGCTCTCGTGAAAGATGTTCTACAATAAGTGCCAGGGATAATTGAATATTGATCACCCTGTATATCTTCATACAGTGGTAGAATTATTTTCGATTACCGGCTTTCGGGAAAGATTTTCTACAAAAGCTGGGAATATTAGAATATTGCGATCACTCTGTAGGTATTTTTATACAGTGTGGCTTATTATTTTTTTTTTGAATGAAAGTACAATAAATTCTTTTCTAATTTTAGAAGTCTCTTTATCTGCAGATTGTAGATATGAAACTTTAAGATTTTGTGGAAAAACTTTCTAATTTTTCAGCCTACACCATTTGGATTTTTTATTCAAAACCTCAATTGACAATATCTGGGTAACAATGAAAGGTATCTTATCAAAATTTTCAGATATTGTAACTCTCATTGAGTACTTCAATAATTTATTAACTAAATAATTATACCTATCACTTATCGAGTTTTTTGATCTTGAAGTTTTTAACAAAATCTCAGTAGAGTTTCAAGTTTGAAGCCTAATTTCTCAAAGCCTATAATATCAACTAATTTTATATATGGAAATTTTATAGATAATTTAATCTTCTTTCAGAAAATCTATAATACAAGTTGATTCGTTAAGAATTACCAAAACTGTGAGCAAATTTCTGAAGCCATGTCAATATATAGGAAAATTTCTCAGGTCAAAATTGAGATTTTCTTTTAAATTTTTTTTCTCATAAAACTACCCTTTTCAAAATAATATGGAATATGTTTTCAGCTAATTTTGACCTGCTCTTTCGATTGAAAAAGTCAAAATTTGAAAAATATGAAAATTCGAAATTTTTGATTTTCCAGTCTCCCTTTTGGATTCTTTATTCAAAATCTTCAATTGGCAATATCTGGGTAACCATGAAGGGTATCCAATTAAATTTTTCAAAAATTCTAGCACTCATTGAGTACTTAATACTTTATTTACTAAATATTTAATTCACTTATGGTTTATGAGTTTTTTGAACTTGAAGTTTTTGACAGAATCTCAGTAAAGTTTCAAGTTTGAAGCCTATTTTCTCAAAGCCTATAAAACCAACTAATTTAATATTTGATGATTTCATAGAGAATTTAATTCTCTTTCAGAAAATCCATAATACAAGTTGATTCGTTGAGAATTACCAAAACTGTGAGAAAATTTCTGAAGCCATGTCAATATATAGGAAAATTTCTGAGTTCAAAATTGAGATTTTCTTTTAAATTTTTTTTCTCATAAAATAATATGGAATATGTTTTCAGCTAATTTTGACCTGCTCTTTCGATTGAAAAAGTCAAAATTTAAAAAATATGAAAATTCGAAATTTTTGATTTTTCAGTCTCCCTTTTGGATTCTTTATTCAAAATCTTCAATTGGCAATATCTGGGTAACCATGAAGGGTATCCAATTAAATTTTTCAAAAATTATAGCACTCATTGAGTACTTAATACTTTATTTACTGAATATTTATATCACTTATGGTTTTTGAGTTTTTTGAACTTGAAGTTTTTGACAGAATCTCAGTAAAGTTTCAAGTTTGAAGCCTATTTTCTCAAAGCCTATAAAACTAACTAATTTAATATTTGAAGATTTCATAGAGAATTTAATTCTCTTTCAGAAAATCCATAATACAAGTTGATTCGTTTGAGAATTACCAAAACTGTGAGAAAATTTCTGAAGCCATGTCAATATATAGGAAAATTTCTGAGTTCAAAATTGAGATTTTCTTTTAAATTTTTTTTCTCATAAAATAATATGGAATATGTTTTCAGCTAATTTTGACCTGCTCTTTCGATTGAAAAAGTCAAAATTTGAAAAATATGAAAATTCGAAATTTTTGATTTTCCAGTCTCCCTTTTGGATTCTTTATTCAAAATCTTCAATTGGCAATATCTGGGTAACCATGAAGGGTATCCAATTAAATTTTTCAAAAATTCTAGCACTCATTGAGTACTTAATACTTTATTTACTAAATATTTAATTCACTTATGGTTTATGAGTTTTTTGAACTTGAAGTTTTTGACAGAATCTCAGTAAAGTTTCAAGTTTGAAGCCTATTTTCTCAAAGCCTATAAAACCAACTAATTTAATATTTGATGATTTCATAGAGAATTTAATTCTCTTTCAGAAAATCCATAATACAAGTTGATTCGTTGAGAATTACCAAAACTGTGAGAAAATTTCTGAAGCCATGTCAATATATAGGAAAATTTCTGAGTTCAAAATTGAGATTTTCTTTTAAATTTTTTTTCTCATAAAATAATATGGAATATGTTTTCAGCTAATTTTGACCTGCTCTTTCGATTGAAAAAGTCAAAATTTAAAAAATATGAAAATTCGAAATTTTTGATTTTTCAGTCTCCCTTTTGGATTCTTTATTCAAAATCTTCAATTGGCAATATCTGGGTAACCATGAAGGGTATCCAATTAAATTTTTCAAAAATTATAGCACTCATTGAGTACTTAATACTTTATTTACTGAATATTTATATCACTTATGGTTTTTGAGTTTTTTGAACTTGAAGTTTTTGACAGAATCTCAGTAAAGTTTCAAGTTTGAAGCCTATTTTCTCAAAGCCTATAAAACTAACTAATTTAATATTTGAAGATTTCATAGAGAATTTAATTCTCTTTCAGAAAATCCATAATACAAGTTGATTCGTTTGAGAATTACCAAAACTGTGAGAAAATTTCTGAAGCCATGTCAATATATAGGAAAATTTCTCAGTTCAAAATTGAGATTTTCTTTTAAATTTTTTTTCTCATAAAATAATATGGAATATGTTTTCAGCTAATTTTGACCTGCTCTTTCGATTGAAAAAGTCAAAATTTGAAAAATATGAAAATTCGAAATTTTTGATTTTTCAGTCTCCCTTTTGGATTCTTTATTCAAAATCTTCAATTGGCAATATCTGGGTAACCATGAAGGGTATCCAATTAAATTTTTCAAAAATTATAGCACTCATTGAGTACTTAATACTTTATTTACTGAATATTTATATCACTTATGGTTTTTGAGTTTTTTGAACTTGAAGTTTTTGACAGAATCTCAGTAAAGTTTCAAGTTTGAAGCCTATTTTCTCAAAGCCTATAAAACTAACTAATTTAATATTTGAAGATTTCATAGAGAATTTAATTCTCTTTCAGAAAATCCATAATACAAGTTGATTCGTTTGAGAATTACCAAAACTGTGAGAAAATTTCTGAAGCCATGTCAATATATAGGAAAATTTCTGAGTTCAAAATTGAGATTTTCTTTTAAATTTTTTTTCTCATAAAATAATATGGAATATGTTTTCAGCTAATTTTGACCTGCTCTTTCGATTGAAAAAGTCAAAATTTGAAAAATATGAAAATTCGAAATTTTTGATTTTTCAGTCTCCCTTTTGGATTCTTTATTCAAAATCTTCAATTGGCAATATCTGGGTAACCATGAAGGGTATCCAATTAAATTTTTCAGAAATTATAGCACTCATTGAGTACTTAATACTTTATTTACTGAATATTTATATCACTTATGGTTTTTGAGTTTTTTGAACTTGAAGTTTTTGACAGAATCTCAGTAAAGTTTCAAGTTTGAAGCCTATTTTCTCAAAGCCTATAAAACTAACTAATTTAATATTTGAAGATTTCATAGAGAATTTAATTCTCTTTCAGAAAATCCATAATACAAGTTGATTCGTTTGAGAATTACCAAAACTGTGAGAAAATTTCTGAAGCCATGTCAATATATAGGAAAATTTCTGAGTTCAAAATTGAGATTTTCTTTTAAATTTTTTTTCTCATAAAATAATATGGAATATGTTTTCAGCTAATTTTGACCTGCTCTTTCGATTGAAAAAGTCAAAATTTGAAAAATATGAAAATTCGAAATTTTTGATTTTTCAGTCTCCCTTTTGGATTCTTTATTCAAAATCTTCAATTGGCAATATCTGGGTAACCATGAAGGGTATCCAATTAAATTTTTCAGAAATTATAGCACTCATTGAGTACTTAATACTTTATTTACTAAATATTTAATTCACTTATGGTTTTTGAGTTTTTTGAACTTGAAGTTTTTGACAGAATCTCAGTAAAGTTTCAAGTTTGAAGCCTATTTTCTCAAAGCCTATAAAACCAACTAATTTAATATTTGATGATTTCATAGAGAATTTAATTCTCTTTCAGAAAATCCATAATACAAGTTGATTCGTTGAGAATTACCAAAACTGTGAGAAAATTTCTGAAGCCATGTCAATATATAGGAAAATTTCTGAGTTCAAAATTGAGATTTTCTTTTAAATTTTTTTTCTCATAAAATAATATGGAATATGTTTTCAGCTAATTTTGACCTGCTCTTTCGATTGAAAAAGTCAAAATTTGAAAAATATGAAAATTCGAAATTTTTGATTTTTCAGTCTCCCTTTTGGATTCTTTATTCAAAATCTTCAATTGGCAATATCTGGGTAACCATGAAGGGTATCCAATTAAATTTTTCAGAAATTATAGCACTCATTGAGTACTTAATACTTTATTTACTGAATATTTATATCACTTATGATTTTTGAGTTTTTTGAACTTGAAGTTTTTGACAGAATCTCAGTAAAGTTTCAAGTTTGAAGCCTATTTTCTCAAAGCCTATAAAACCAACTAATTTAATATTTGAAGATTTCATAGAGAATTTAATTCTCTTTCAGAAAATCCATAATACAAGTTGATTCGTTGAGAATTACCAAAACTGTGAGAAAATTTCTGAAGCCATGTCAATATATAGGAAAATTTCTGAGTTCA